CCATGCAACCGAATTATGTTCAACACTCTAGCCACCTCCTTTGAATCCCCAATGACAGTCCCATCATCTAGATACCAAGCATGGAGAAGGAGCTTACAATTGTCTCTAATCTTGTGCACAAGCGGGTGCAAAACGAGGGCAAAAAGAAGAGGGCCTAAGGGGTCACCTTGCTGCACCCCAGTGGCAGACCATATATGTTGGTCTCCGATATAAAGTCTCGTTGCTTGCCCGTACAAGAAATTCACCCACAAAGAAATGGAAGGGCACATCTTCTTAACCTCGTGGAGCAATGCTGATCGATCCACCAGGTTAAAGGCATTCGAAAAATCCACAGTCAGCATTACAAGAGACCCATCAGCATGGTGTTCACTCAACACCCTATTGGCACTGTGTAACACAACCTCAGCACCGCCAGATACACCAACCCCGAACTGAAAATCATTAAGGTACTTGGCCATTTCTTTACCCACACCTTTCATGGCAACCTTGGAAACCAGACGTCTCCATATAGTGTCTACTGCAATCGGACGGATCACGTTGTCAGGTTTAAGTAGAGGCGTGAGAGGAGCGGATGCAACAAACTCTGCCAAAATGGTTGGACATCTCCCCGCTAACCATAAATTAACAAGTGAAGTGCATGTATGAGATCTGTGAAAATCATTAAGGTACTTGCCAATAATGTGTTCAAAAAAAATTGAAATATGATATGCATTTAACTATGGATGTATTACACGTACCGCTCAATTATATAAATTTATTTATGGGAGGTTAATTTATCTACTATGTGCATTTAACTATGACAGGTTAATTTATCTACTATTGCTACAATTCAATATGTATCGTCCAACTTCCAACGTAACACTTAAAAATTCCAAACTTCGATACATGCAATTAAATACATTTTAAGAGTACACGTCACATAAATTCATGACATTGTCAATATCGAATACATTATATATATAATCAAATTGAAGACGCCAACTTAAATTAGAAGTTTTAATCCAAAAACTTATCCTTTTATGTAATTTAATAGAATAGCCTAAATTTTCTTTTACCAAGAAAGATTTGATATATATTTTAAAATGTTAATATTATAAAGAATTTTATATATTTATTTTTTTAGAGGTTAAACCGTGATTTATTTATTTTTCTTAAAAATGCCTTGTATTTTTTAGTTTTTCGAAAACACCTTGGAACTTTTTACTTTTCCGAAAAAAAAACATACATTTAACAAGTTCTCTTCTGAAAAAAAAAACTCTAAAAAGGCTAAAGAAAAAAATATAAAGTTTTCTTTAAGTAAAAGAAAATAAAACATACACAATATGAAACATACTAACAATATTTAAAAAAAAATAGGATATAATACGAATCGTATTATACGATTATGTATTTTCTAAATACAAACCAAAAAGAAGAAATTATTATTACTCTTCATCTTAGATATAAATATTTTACAATACTTTTTATAAACGCAATTATATACTTATATAACTTATAATATGAAATGATAACAAGTAACTCTAATATTGATTTAATTTGTTAGTGAGTAATTTGAATGTAAATAATTGTTAGTCAATCGGATTTATCAGTGTTAGGCAAATAAGAGACTTAATTCTGATTGCTCCCTTTGACATTTTATTCTTACGGGTTTTGTTCCTGTTATGTTTTGTTCTATAAATTTGATTTCCATTTTTCTTTTTTCATTTTCGCCTGCTTTCAATTTTTTTACCTAAAGAAAATATTAATTCTAATTATTTGTTTTTTAAAACTCGCTCTTTCTAATATAAATTGTAGTCTTTCAAAATTTTTATATATTTTTTATGAATATATATATATATATATATATATATATATATATATATATATATATATTATAAACATAGTTCTTTTAAAAATTTAGAATGTTCGGCATTGCTTATTCAAAACAATTTATGTTTATTATTAGCTTATCCAGTGTTAAAACAGAGTTCTAGAAAAATGTTTGTATTATCATATTCGGTATTAATACGAAAAAAGTTGATAAATTATGTTTAGTATTTGACAAACTTTTTTTTTATGTGTAATAAAAACAACTTATCAAAAACTTTTTGAAAAAGTCAATAAATAAGTAAAAGGTTATTTATCAAAAAACTTTTTATTTAAGTATCAAAAAACTTTTTATCAAAAAACTTTTTATTTAAGTCAATAAATACGTATAAAATCTTTTTATCCAAGTATTAAAAAACCTTTTATTATAGATGTCAAACAAAAATAAGTCAATAAATATTTCAAATAAGCAATTTCAAACACTTACTTTTTTTAAACAATTTTTCTATACATACCTTTTTAAGATTTCACATTTGCAAGTAGTTATTTTATAGGTTTGGTTTTGTATTTTCTTTTACATATTCATTTTAATGCATGTAAGGTTATATCAGTAATTAAAGTGTATTAATGTATAATAATCATAATCATAATGTATTTCAAATCCTAATTTTGAAATTGATTATAGCATTATAATTTTTTTAGGCTTTCTGTTGCATCAAACGGGAAGCAACCTTAGTTATATAATAGTTTACACAATGATTGGAAGTTACTATGTGAATAAGGTCCTATTAAAGACACATCAACTAACACCATATTCCTGATAGTGGAACCATGTTAAATACTAGAACCATGTTAAATACTTATGTCTCGTAAGTTTATTTTCTTGCCATTTACATTTGATATATCGTTGTATGTATGTCAGTGTTAGACATTTTTATCGTATTTCTACATCCTACTTTGTTATATATTTTGTTCTTGGGTTTTATATTTGTTTATGAGACTAAGTTCTGACATCTTTTCACAATATGTTTGTATTTTTAACATAATCGATTGGATCCACAATAAAACTCTAACATTTTCATAAAGGGAAATTTACAGAAAAGTCCTAGATTTTATCATAATTTACAAAAAAAAATCTCAAATTAAAATTTGTTTACAAAAAAACATGAATTATCGGTAAAATGACGATTTGACTCATTTTTCAAGATTTTCCGGTTTCATTACTTACTTGGTTCTATTAAAGTCTCATTATTTTATATCAATTTACGAATAAGTCCCAAAATAAAATTTAGTGATGATTTGACCATTTTCTCTATGTAATATACATTTTACTGATTTCATTGTTGACGTGGATGCGTAGTCATTAAATGAGCTGATGAGATAGATATATTAGGTTATATAATGTTATGTTTACCATAAAACTTGATATCGTGATGTATTGTATATTTTTTGGAATATAAAATGTATCTAACGAATACTACAATAATTACATAAACTAGCAACAACTTCGTTATTTTTTACGTTTGTAAGAAATTTCAAATTGTCTATCTAATCTTTAGAACCCAATATATCGATCTCATCAGAAATCAACTCATTTTCTGCACTTTTTTCCTGGAAACACACATTTTATTGATTTCATTGCTGACTTAGATACATAGTCATAAATGAGCCGATGAGATGAATATCAAAATTTACCACTGTTGTAAAAATCCCGACTAGGTCCCGATTAATCTCCGATTAATCCCTAGGCGCTACTCGACCGATTAGAGGGCGCCTAGAGATTAATCCCTGCATACATAATGAGTGAAACATTATAAAACGATAAAATTTTAACATTTTGAAGAAGTTTTATCTCAATGGAAACTATTCGAGGCATGATTAGTGTTGTATTAATAATATTAACCTATTTTGTTATCATATTAGTGGTATTTACGAACTTTAATATGATATTAGTCATATTTAATTTTTTAAAATTCAACAAATTAGCAATTAGTGGTACCCGATTAATCCCCCGATTAATCTCCGCCTAGTAGATTAATCCATTGACCCCAGTCCACCGAGTAGCTAACGTCAAACGTTTTTTACAACCTTGAAATTTACAGTAAATGTAGCATTATATAACTCATCGTATCCATCTTATCAACTAATTTAATGAATAGATGTCCAAGTCAGCAATGAAACTGATAAAATGTATGTTACATGGAGAAAAGAGTCAAATCATCACTAAATTTTAGTTTGGGACTTATTCGTAAATTAGGGTAAAATAATGAGACTTTAATAAAAATAGGTAAGTAATGAAACCGGTAAACCGAGAATGATGGTCAAATCGTCATTTTAACCGGTAATTCATGTTTTTTTGTTAACAAATTTTATTTTGAGATTTTTTCGTAAATTAAGATAAAATATTAGAATTTTTCTGAAGATTTTTCATATCTTTAATAGTTATTGTAGTTGTAAGATCTTTATTAGCATTTTGGTAAATATTTTCTTGTAGATTAAAATATTTTCCGACATTAATTTTTTTTCCACTTTACAGTGTTGATGTTAGATATATATTCCAAACTTTAATACATATAATTAAATACTTTCTAAATAGAAATTTATAACGTAATTAATCTACAAGATGTTTATATCTATTATGAAATCTACATTTTAATGGTTAGAAGATTAAAAAGCTTGCCTTAAAGGTATATTATCTCCATTACGTTTTTTCTGAAGATGAATAATAATATGATTACATGTATAAGAAGGATATATTATTCCACGTATTTATTTAATATATTACTTCTTAATATAATCAAATAGTAAAACATTAATGTTATAATTAATTTTTCATACATTTATATTATATGTTATTATTATTATATATACAAAATTAAATTTCCATAAATTTTCTGAATGCGAACTGAAATATCCAAATTAAATAAGCACGAGCGTATACAAGCGAAGTGTTGTATGGAGTAAGCCATGACATACCCACCGCTTCACCAGTTGTATCTGAGTATCTCTCACTTAATTTACGCATGCGTTACTTATGACATATTCTCGTAATCTCATTTCCCCAACTGCCCACCACTCTCTTTTTCAGAAATTGTCAATTTCACCCTTCTCTTTCTCAATCCAGCTTATAAATACACAAACACAATTATATGACTCAAGTCACAACCATATCTCAAACGATCATTATCAACAAAATGGACCTTCAATTTTCATTTTGCTTTGTCTTCTTCACCTTCACCGCCGTTTTCTTCCTCTTCTCTTTCTCACTTTATATCCTCCGCCTTAATCGCTGCTGCAACTGCGACGTCTGCACCGCCTTCATCACACGGAGTTGGGCGGCTGAGTTTGTGAATCTTTCAGACTGGTACACCCATCTCCTCCGTAAATCGCCCACAGGCACCATCCACCTGCATGTACTCAACAATATCATTACAGCGAACCCTGATAACGTTGAGTACATGCTCAAGACAAACTTCGATAACTACCCAAAAGGAAAAGCTTTCTCAGCCATCCTCGGAGATCTTCTAGGCCGAGGTATTTTCAATGTCGACGGAAAGTGCTGGAGGTTTCAGAGAAAAATGGCGAGTTTGGAACTTGGGAGTGTGTCTATTAGATCACACGCTTTGAATGTTGTGGTAGATGAGATTGAATCTCGGCTTATTCCATTCTTTTCATCGGTTGCTGAGAACAAAGACGGCGCCGTTTTGGACTTGCAAGATGTATTCAGAAGGTTTTCTTTTGACACTATATGTAAATTCTCATTCGGGTTAGACCCGGGTAGCTTAAAACCTTCACTACCCGTTTCAGAACTCGAGTCCGCCTTTGATTTGAGCTCTAAGCTTTGTGCTGAGAGAGGCATGGCGCCGTCGCCATTGATATGGAAGATCAAGAGACTTTTCAACATGGGGAGTGAGAAAAAGCTAAAAGAATCCATCAAGATCGTCAAAAGGATGGCGGATCAAGTAATCAAGACACGAAGAGAAACGGGTTTTTCTTCAAATAATGATTTGCTTTCAAGATTCATGGGTTCCATCAGTGACGGTGATTACCTCCGAGACATCGTCATCAGTTTCCTTCTGGCCGGAAGAGACACGGTGGCGTCCGCGTTGACCAGCTTCTTCTTGTTAATGTCACAAAACCCGAAAGTCGTGAAAAAGATCCGTGAGGAATCTGATCAGGTCATGGGTGAGACCCGTGATACATTAGCCAGCTTTAAAGATCTACAAAACTTGCATTACTTGCAAGCAGCGTTTCACGAAAGCATGAGGCTTTATCCACCTGTGCAATTCGATTCCAAATTCACTAAACAAAATGACGTGTTACCTGATGGGACTTTCGTGAGGAGAGGGAGTCGGGTCACATACCACCCTTATGCAATGGGTCGTATGGAGCGGGTATGGGGCCCCGATGCCTTGGAATTCAAGCCTGAAAGGTGGATCCGAAATGGGGAGTTTAAGCCAGAAAGTGCATATAAGTATCCGGTTTATCAAGGCGGGGTTAGGGTTTGTTTGGGGAGGGAGATGTCATTGGTCGAAATGAAAAGTGTTGCGTTGTGTTTGATTCGGAGGTTTGACGTGAGAGTGGTGAACCCTAGCCAGGCACTACGGTTTGGCCCGGGGCTTACTGCCACCGTGAGTGGTGGACTCCCGGCGGTGGTGCGGCCAATAGACCTGCAGCTAGCCTAGTTAACGAGACAATTGGCCAGTGGTGGCTTAATTTACAAGTATAGAAAACACATGCGCAATGAGTGCAACTGTAATCATGTTGAGATGTAGATAAACAACTGTTTCTTACTATACTAATCCTGAATCCTGATTAGTAAAATATTTAACTTTATAATTCTTTTTGTTAACTTACCTATCGATCATATAGTGAACACACATCGAAAACTGTATAGATTCAAGCAAAATGTATATAAAAGTTAAATTAAATTAGAATAATTCTATAAGATTAAGGGAGGGGTCTGGTCCAAACCGCTTTCAGGCCTGAGAAAAAACAAAAATAAATCCCTCTTAAATAAAAAAATTATAATTAAAGAACTAAATCTAATAAAATTGAAAAATTATTTAAGAATAATGTACCGTGCAATTGAAACAAAGCCAATAACATCTTATTTCAATCTTCCAAACATCTTTTGGAAAATAATAATCTAGTACAACATATTTTTGGTTTGTCCCGTATTGGTCACCAAAATGTTTTTTTACTCGATAGGTCACTTAAGTTAACATTTACGTGTTAAATGGGGCTATATCCGTAAAAACTACCGGTTTTCAAGTTAATTCGCTTAGTTGGCACGATGGCATGGTAACAAATAGACC